GGCACATGCCAGGCTCCAGATCATTGAATATTATTTCACCCTCACAACAACTCTATGGGGTTGGTATTATTATCTCTATTTTTCAGATGAGCGAATGATGCCCCCAAAGACTGTAACTCAACTTGTTTGAGATCTTATGACTAGCAAGCATCAAAGTCAAGTTCAGACTTGGGGCTATCTAACCCCAAATATCAGTGATCCTCATTATTCCCTCCCTGTGTTTTTTTTTCTTCTGGGAAAATGAAGAGATTTGGTGGGACGATCTTGAAGGATACTTTAACCTCTAAACTCCGTGGTCTATGGAAACACCTCTTTTCTCTCTTCAAAGGTTGTTGATGTTATTGAATATAATGTGAGATCTTTGTCCCAAACATGTTGTTCAAATGTACTTGGCAGAGCAGAACAAGTTGGTGTGCACAGAGGGTGGAAAGTTGTGTCATGGGCATCTATATTTATTCCGCCTCAGAAGAGGAAGGGTGGAGTGGATGGTCCCTGTCGATGCTTCCTGGTGCCAGGTGGGATTAAATTCATCATTGGATTTGGGAGGTTTTGTCATTTTTGGTTTCAGCCACACCTTCTGAGCTAGTTGCTTTTTATAAACAAGGGAATCAGGTGTTTTCTGCAGGCAGAAAGCCTTCATAGGCACTCCAGGGCCAGCTCAGATGCAGTAAGGACACTGGCTCCAAGTGACCCAGGTTGTGGTTTATCTCCTTGAGCCACGTGGTGAAGAGAGTTCAGCAGCCACAGCTGTACCTGGTAAGGTGAGGACAGTCCTTAGCCTGAGCAGAATGGATTGACCAGCTTAGAAGAGAGAGGTTGATTTATAGGAGGGTCTTTAGTCCTAGTCTCTGGATTTGCAGACCTGAGTTTGAATCCAGGATCTGCTGCACAGCCTAGCAAAGTATCCTGGATGCATGGATGTGAATGTGTCTCCGAATGGAAAAAGGTGTTTATGACTCTTAGAGTGTCAATGGGGGCAACCACACTTCCCCCATTACTTTTTAAAGAATTTTATCTATTTTAAAATAATAATAATAATAATAATAATAATAATAATAATAATATTTTTCCCAGACATGGCTCATGCCTGTAATCCCAGCACTTGGGAGGCCAAGGTGGGAGACTTCCTTGAGCCCAGGTTCAAGACCAGCCTGGGCAACATGGCAAAATCCTGTCTCTACAAAAAATACAAAAATTAGCTGGGCATGGTGGTGCATGCCTGTAGTCCCTGCTACTTGGGAGACTGAGGTGGGAGGATCACCTGAGTCTGAGAAGTTGAAGCTGCAGTGAGCCATGATTGCACCACCCCACTCCAGCCTGGGTTGACAGAGAGACCCTGTATCAAAAAAAAAAAATTTTTTTTTTTTTTTTTTTTTTTTTTTTTTTTTTTTTTTTTTAGAGACAAGGTCTTGCTGTGTCTCCCAGTCTGATCCTGAACTCTTGGGCTTGAGTAGTCCTCCCACCTCAGCCTCCTGAGTAGTTGGGGCTACAGGTGTGTGCCACCACAAGTGGCTTCCCCATTTCTTGAATTGAGGTATAACGTGCATATGTAAAGTATGACTTTTTTGTGGTAAAATATACATAATATAATATTTAACCATTTGAACCATTTGTAAGTATACAATTTGGTGGCATTAAATACAGTCATGGTGCTGTGTAGTCATCGCCATGATCTATATCCCCAATTTTTCCATCCTTCCCAACAAAATCTCTGTCTGTACTCATTATCAGTAACTTCCCCTTCATCCCCATCCCCATTCCCTGGTAACCTCTATTCTACTTTGTGTCTCTATGAATTTGCCTATTCCAGGTAACTTGGGTAAATGAAATCATGTAGCATTTGTCCTTTGGTATCTGGCGTATATCATTATAATGTTTCCAAGGGCTGTCTGTGTTACAACATACATCAAAATTTCATTCCTTTTCATGACTGAATAATATCCCATCGCATGTATACACCACATTTTGTTTATCTGTTTATTTGTTGATGGACACATGGGTTGTCTCCACTCTTTGGCTATTGTGAATAATGCTGCTGGTGAACACTGGTGTAGGAGTATCTGTTTGAGTCCCTGCTTCCAATTCTTTTGAATATAAAACTAGGAGTTTTGGAATTCCTGGATAAACTGTATCAATCTTAAGTGTTCAAACTGATAAAATTTTCATATGTTTACACTTGTGGAACCAATACCCAGACCAAGTTACAGAATATTTCTTTTTTTTTTTTTTTTTTGAAACGGAGTCTGGCTCTGTCACCCAGGCTGAAGTACAGTGGTGTGATCTTGGCTCACTGCAATCTCCGCCTCCTGGGTTCAAGTGATTCTCCTGCCTCAGCCTCCCAAATAGCTGGGACTACAGGTGCCTGCCACCATGCCCAGCTAATTTTTGTATTTTTAGTAGAGATGGGGTTTTGCTATGTTGGCCAGGCTGGTCTTGAACTCCTGACATCAGACGATCTACCACCTCGGCCTCCCAAAGTGCTGGGATTACAGGTGTGAGCTACCCCGCCCGGCCAGAATATTTCTATTACTCCAGAAGTCTCCCTTGAGCTCTCCTACAGGCAATCCTTGCCTCTCCCTGAGGGTACCATGATTCTTCCATCTTCTCAGCCTCAGGGTCCCTCATGGGCGAGGCTTGGAGACTTATGGAAGGTTAAACAGGTCAATGAACTAAAGGGAAAACACACACATGACTGGTCTCTCTGTACCCTTGTAGTCCAAAGAAATGCTTTTACTCCAGACTTTCATTTGGGCTTTTTTGGTTTCTTGACTTCTGAGATTGTTTTAGAAGACTTCTGAGATTGTTTTAGAAGAAGATTCTCAGCTTCTTAGCTTTTCAAGGAGACTTGTATGTTTAAGAAAGTAACCTTGCCTGACTGGATTTTGAATTCCTGGGTCTGAAATTGTAATGCGGATAAGAAGCGAGCCACGGAAATGAGTGAGATTCCCCTTGTAAGAGGTGAGAAGCCATGTGGTCACCTCCTGCGGGACATCAGTCAGTCTGTAGCTCTCAGGGGTAGAGGCCTCAGGGGCTTCTGGGTGCTGGAGCTGGAGAGAGGAAACCTCAGGAATCTTTGGCTGAACCTCAGGCTTGGGGACCCCTCAAGGCCTCTTAAAGGGAGGGGTGGGTTGTGAAGAATACAGAGGAGCAAAATGGGAACTAGGAAGCTGTTGGGGCCTGAGGTGGCCCTGGGGGCAGTGACCATCCCCCACTGCCACCGTCTCTGCTTCTTGCTGAGTGTCTGCTCTTTCCCCCTCACTACTCTCGGGGGGTCTTCATCCTTTGTCCTGTGCATCTCTTCTCTGATACTTCTGTTCACTCCCCACTTTGGCTTCCACAGGGTTTGGAGTCACCCTGAGTGCCCATCACTCTACTCTTCCTCCCAGACCCTTCCAGCTCAGCTCCCACTGATGGTTGCCCATCGTCTCGGTAAGCCCTAGTTCAGATTCCTAGTGCAGGAAATGTGGCTGGCCCAGTGTCTTTCCTCACACCAAGTCAAGCCAGAGAAAACTACTTGGCCTGGAATGGGCTGCTTCTGGTCCCAGCCCTTTTCCTGCTCTAGTGCCTTGGCGAGAACACGCCCAGCCCCCTGCCTTTGGGGTATAATTCTCACTCCAGAATGGAGGCAGCAGAGGCCAGAGAGGTCAAGTGATGTGCCCATCTGTGTGGACAGATCAGGTCAGGTGTTGATGGTGTTGGTTAGAGGCAGGATAGGATGAATGGGGTAAATGGAGAGTGAGGGGATTTAGGGCAAAGTAGAGGGCAGCAGCATTAATCTCATTATGATGAGTTCCATCTTGCCCTGTTACGTGGAGTTCTTCTTGCCCCTGGACTCCCATGCTTCTCAATGAGTTCCCCATCACACCCCGTCTCCCAGTGCGGTTATTATACAAAGCTCCAACATCCTGGAGGTATATGAGTGTTCCAGCTCCTCCCCCTCCTCCCCAACACTTTATATGGTCAGTTTAGAAAAGTTTAGCCATCCTAACAGGTAGTGAGCCCCTCCAATTCCTCACATTGAAATGATTCAATGTACTGAAATTTCTTTTCCACATATGTTTACCCTAGAACTTGCTTTTATTTTTAGATGATGATTGCCCAAAGTAAGGTGATCATGCATAAAATCAGTAAAACATTGTGTTAGGAGTCTTTTCATTGCATATGACAGGAAACAACCCCAGTTGGATTAATCATTAAAGGGAATTTGTTGATTTGCTTAAATGAGCTGCCTGGGGGACTTCAGGAGCATCTCGATACAGAAATAATATAACCTAGATGAAGAAATTTAGCCTGTTTTCCCCTAGTTTGGCTCCAGGTTCATGAATATTCTCTCCTCATTGTTACAAGATAGTTATCTATGGCCCCCGGGGCTATGGTACTTCCAATTCACATCCAGCAGGGAAAAGACTATCCCTTTCTTCAATTGTTAAACAAAATCTTGGGTTTTGCTCTCACTGGACCAGTTTAGGAAACAAACCAGCTCTGCACCCACCTCCTGTGAATAGGACAGTAGGATTATACACATTAGCTATCTTTTTTTTTTTTTTTTTTTTTGAGATGGAGTCTTGCTCTGTCACCTAGGCTGGAGTGCAGTGGTGCCATCTTGGCTTACTGCAACCTCTCCCTCCTGGGTTGAAGCGATTCTTGTGCCTCAGCCTCTGGAGTAGCTGGGATTACAGGCACACACCACCATGCCCAGCTAATTTTTGTATTTTTAGCAGAGACGAGGTTTCACCATATTGGCCAGGCTTGTCTTGAACTCCTGACCACAGGTGATCCGCCCGCCTCGGCCTCCCAAAGTGCTGGGATTACAGGCGTGAGCCACCATACCTGGCCTAAAGAGAACATTTTATCCTCAGGTAAATGGCCTACACATTAGTTTTTACGCAACCCACATGCTCTAAAGTAGAGCCAGAAGGTGGCACCTGGAGGAGGAATGGGGAGGGGTAGGTGCTGGAGCAAAAGTCCATTGCTGCTGCCGAAAGACAGAGAATGAATTCTGGAAGGCCTTCATACATGTCCGTTTTTAATTTTATCCAATCATTAATTTTCTGCAGAGTTGTTTTTTCTTGACTTAATATTTTTGCAACTTTTTTCATTTTTTTGTTCATTTCTTTCAATGTATTTCAACCCTTCCAACTGCAGCTGATCCAGCTTTTCATTTCGACTTTCATCTAGAGGTATGTTTTCACACATTACAGGATTGAATCTAAAATAGGTGTCAGGAGGTAACAGGCCATCAACCATTATATGGACTTCTTCTGTATCTGTAGCACTGTTGATAGCATTAGAAAGTTTGGTTTTCAGGCTTGTGTGTGTCACCGTGTTTCTCACATCACTCTCATAATGTCCAGTGCCCAAGGATACTATGCACTCTAATGGTACATCTGGCCAAAGACATTTACACTCATGCATAGCTAATGCTGAAGGGTTATTCAGAAGCAAACCTCCATCTTGATGAAGATCATTTCCCAACGCATATTCTGCAAAGTAGCCTGGAGCAGCAGATGAGGCTCTAATGGCCTGCCACATTTTGTACTGACAGCCTCCCAAATAATGAGAGTTGATTCCAGGAAAATGACCATAGTTTCTGAACACAAAAGCTTTTGGTGTTATCCCTCTATTTACTATGGTACTTACAGCAGCTACCTTAGGACATGTGGGGTTTCTTGCTGTTTCAATCATTAGTGCAGATCCCATCCTATCCTTAAGAATGTTTTCCCATGTTTGACTGTCATAAAATGCATGGCTCCAACTCATTTTGACTGTTCCAACAATGACATTTTGTGAAAATACATCTGATCCCAATTTTCGATAAAGTTCCTCACATTCATCCAAGGGCATATGAAACAACCCCAACATGAAAGCTAATATGGCACCTGTACTAACACCACAAATGTAATCAAAGAGCTGATGAACTGGCTTCTGAGTAAGTTCAACTAATTTTCGTAGGGCAAGCCAGAGCAGTCCCTGTCTACTGAGGACATTGATGGTGTGGAGCTGAACTGGATCCTTGCCATTTGTGCGGTTAGCTTGCTGGAGGAAAGGGCACCTTTTGAACTGAAGGTTCATCTGGAGAAGTCTCTGAATCAGGGAAACAGCTTGCTCTGTCTGCTTGCTGAAAGGCTTCTCCTTTTCCTGCTGGGCCCCGGACTGGGACGTCCAGCCAAGCCCGGCACTGTCTCCCCCACTGCTTCATTTCTTTCCATTCAGACTCTTTTCTTTCCTGGAGATGCAGTTGCTCTGGCTTCCAGGTTAAGGCTTTGGCCTCGTGGGTGTGAATTTACAATCAGCTTCCCTTCAGTTGTCTTCACGGAGCTGTGATTTGTCTGTGGCTGCCTGTGAGAGGATTCGAATCCCTGTGGAGCCTGTGAACACCCTCCTGATTTCCTGTTACTTCATGGCCTCGTGTGGGCTCCCTGAAGTAGCTCTGCTTCCCGAGCCCTCCCTCCCAGCCCAGATCCCGCCGCACCCACACCCTCAACCTCACTCTTCTGTTCTCTGCTGCCACTTCTTAACTATAAATCTCAGGGAACCTCATTCCCTCTTGGCTCTGTGCCCTGCTTCTGTCGCTCCTTTCTTTCTTTTTCGTTTCCTCCACCCTCTGTTTTGCTCAGCCTCCTTCTCTTTCCTTTATTCTGGCTGCGGATGAGAGGGAAGGCCTGCACTTTTTCCTGGTTTTGGTTTCAACATTTCACATTATGGATGGGTGTTCCTCTTATTTCGTTTCCATCTTGAAAACTTGGTCATTTGTGTCCCGCTGGGTCCAGACGCTGGAACACTCAGACATTTCTTGTCTTTTTGTAAGTGGCCAAACGGCTGTAAGACCCAAGTCTTGTGGGTCCAGCTCTGGATGTGGAGTCAGGATGCCCACATTTCAGATTTGATTTTATGGTCTGGTTGCTTGGTTTCATTGACTTTTTTTTTTTTCTCTTTTTGAGACTGGGTCTCTCTCTGTTGCCTAGGCTGGAGTGCAGTGACACCATCATGACTCACTGCAGCCTCGACCTCCTGGCTCAAGCGATCCTCCTGTATCAGCCTCTCAAGTAGCTAGGAACACAGGTGCAGCTACCACACTTAGCTAATTTTATTTAAAATTTTCTTTATAGAAATGATTCTCACTATACTGCCCAGGCTGTCTTGAACTCCTAGCCTCTGTCTCCCAAAGTGCTGGGATTACAGGTGTGAGCTGTTACACCTGGCCTTCACCAAAGTCTCTGAGATACTTGTGGAGTGTTCCTGGTATGCTCACAGCAGTGTATCAACCTCTTGGCAAAAGTACAATCAGGTAAGTCTATACAAGCTGCCCTCTTGCCCTTGGGGCTTTCCAGTTGTAAATGAGCACTGGGTGAGACACACTGAACTCTCAGTGCACTTTGTAGCAGGACTTGGGCCTGTGGAACCTGGGGTAGCTACTGATGGATGCTACACACTTCATTTGCAAGCTTGTCTATTCGTTTTGAGACCAACCTCGATCATGAGCTTGATATCATCACTCCATCTACTAGGTGAGGAAGGGGAAGGCTCAGAGCCTTGCGTTGACTTCTGTGCGGCCATAGGTGGAGATACAGCAGCCAGGCCAGCATCTGAGCTCAGGTGTCCCTGCTCTGCCATGTCCTTCCGCTTTTCCAATTGACTGTGAATTCCTAATATGTATTCTTTGGCTTCCATATGACCCATCTCCTCTATGTTTGTGGAAAGGAGGTTGAAAGAGACAAGATGTGTTTAAAAAAAATAGTAAGAAGGATTGGAGTCTAAAAAAAGCTGGCCTGGACCTGCTGCTGCTGAATGCGGATGTTGTCACAGCCCAAGTTCCTTAGGAGAAAGGGATGGTTGAATACTACCAGCATCAAGATTCCATTTTTTTTTTTTTTTTTTGAGACAGAGTTTTTGTCTTGTTGCCCAGGCTGGAGTGCAACGGCGTGATCTCGGCTCACCACAAACTCCGCCTCCCAGGTCAAGCGATTCTCCTACCTTAGCCTCCCAAGTAGCTGGGATGACAGGCATGCACCACCATGCCTGGCTAATTTTGTATTTTTAGTAGAGACGGGGTTTCTCCATGTTGGTCAGTCTGGTCTCGAACTCCCGACCTCAGGTAACCCGCCCGTCTTGGCCTCCCAAAGTGCTGGGATTACAGGCATGAGCCACTGTGCCCAGCCAAGATTTCATTTTTGTTATGTGGGTGGTGGGACCAGGGGTGTCTTCTCTATAATGCACCTGCATTTTCATGGAGGAAATAACCACTGATTTATATTTACTCTGTGCGAGCCACACAGCAATGAGAGCAAAACAAAGACTGGGCTAAGTGATTTCTTTTCTTGAGATGTCTCTAGCTAGGATGCAACAGTGGCTATGTTACAAGAAAGGATACAGTCTTTATTCTAAGGGATATAAGTAATAAAAATAGCAAACACAGTGCATCCTTCATGTGCTTTCGTGTGTACTAACTTGTTAGAGCACCCCTAAGTCGTAGGCTTTGTTACTCTCCGTGTTTTTCAGGTGAGGAATCTGAATCAAGAGAGGTTAGATTTCTCTTTCATGAGCACACAGAGTAATAGGGAATAAGGATTGGAACCCAGGCAGACTGGCTCCAAAGTCTGCCCTCTAGACACAGCTGCACTCTGCTTCTCCCAGTGCCCCAAACACTCAGAAGACCATGTTCACTCCCGTTAGGGGGTCTGAGGAGGCCTTTTGGAGAGACATTTAAGTTGGCCTTGCCAGAGAGGAAGGAGGATTTCCCTCTATGGATAGGTGGGGGGCAGTTACTCCAGGCCTCAAGGCTGGCCTGGAACAGTGGGAAGACCTTCACTTCCCAGTGGTGGGAACTGCAGCTTGACATTTAGTTACTCCAGATAACTGCACTGTGTCATGTAACTGTGTCCGAGTTAGCAATCATAAATAACCCACACCTCTAAAACATCAGCTTTAGCAAATGTGCATGGAATCCCAGAAACTGATCCTATGACGTCTCCAAAGGCATTTCCATCATTGCTTCTACATTTCCTGCCCTTCTATTCCTGGGAGAGATTTTGTGTTCTTTTGGGATAAGACAGGATATGTGTAAGGGCTTGGTGAGTTTTCACTCTGCGCTTGATTTGGTACCCTCTGGGGTACTTATATTTATGTTTTAAAGGCCAAAAGGTCTGAGATTATTCTGCCTCACTTCCTGTGGAAACTTCCCTCCCTCACTCCTGTGTCCACGTATGGATGTAACATCTCCTCTGTGCTATGCCCTGTGATGAGCATATGGATAGAGAGAGTCCCTGTCCATAAAGAAGTTAGAGTCTAGTGGTGAGAGCATTAGGTACACAGATTATCCTGGGTCAGTGTGGTACCCATTGGAAGTGTATACCAGGTACAGACAAATCAGGGACCAGGGCTGGCTCCTTGTTCCCTGGGGTTGAGAGGCTTCCAGGGGAGTGAAGTGTGTCCTCAACAAGGACAGACAGGCAAGATGGAAGTACGTATTTCAGGAGTTGTAGCCTCAGCACTGCTGCCAGCAGGCTGTGAGGTGGGTGACAGATGAACCTGAGATGTCACTCATCCTGACAACCTCACTGAGGCAAACCCCAGGTGAGGGAAATGCAGGTTCTGACGATTACTCAGGATTCTTGGGCCCTGGTTTCCCATCCATTGTCCAGATTTTGAACTTTTCCCTTTCCCGTCTCTCCTTGCTGGCCCACAGCCATTGCAAAAGCTAAAGCAGGTGCTCAGCCACAGTGTCCTAAATGCATTGATTCCTCCACGTGTTCAGAGCATGTTTAGGAGACTTTGGAGACCCAGTAGGAAGGAGGCTCCAGGGGAAACAAAGCATATTTTGTCTTAGTTTTGGTAAAACCAATTACAGAGGATGTACCATTAGAGACACATCATGTTGTGTTCTAAGCAGAACCAGTGCCCCCAAGGCAGCCTCTTCACAATTGCCGATAGCCATTTTCAAGTATACAATAGATTATGATTGAATATAGTCAACATGCTGTACAATACCTCTCCAGAACTTACTTTTGTTTACGTGAAGGCTTGCACTCTTTGGCCAACAACTCCCCATTCCCTGTTTACCTGCAACTCACACCCCCAACCCCTGGCAACCATCATTCTACTCTTCTGTGAATTCCACTGTTTGAAATTCCATGTAGAAGTGAGATCATGCAATACTTGTCTTTCCGTGTCTGGTTTATTTCACTTAGCATAATGTTCTCCAGGTTTATCCATGTTCGTTGCATATGACAGGACCTCCTTCCTATTTTAAAGCAGAATAATATTCCATTGTGTATATACATGCATATATATTGTGTTAGGCTGTTTTTGCATTGCTGTAAAGAAATACCCAAGGCTGGGTGGTTTATAAAGAAAAGAGATTTAATTCACTCATGGTTCTGCAGCCTGTACAAGAAGCATGGCACCAGCATCTGCTCGACTTCCGGGGAGGCCTCAGGGAGCTTCCAATCATGGCAGAAGTTGAAGGGAGAGCCAGCATATCACACGGTGAGAGCAGGAGAGAGAGAGTGGGGTAGTGGGGAGGTGCCACATTCTTTTAAACAACCATATCTTATGTGAACTCAGAGGGAGCTCACTTATTATCAAGGAGATGGTGCCAGGCCATTCATGAGGGATCTGCCCCCCAAGGTCCAATCACTTTCCACCAGGCCCCACCTCCAACATTGTGGATTACAATTCAACATGAAATTTGGAGGGAACATACATCCAAACCATTTTTACACACATACACACACACACACACACACACACACACACACACATCTGCAATGTATCCATTAATCTGTCAATGACACTTAGATTGTTTCCATATCTCAACTATTGTAAATAATGCTGCAATGAACACGCAGTGAATGTGAGAGTGCAGGTATCTCTTCAACATGCTGATTTCATTTCCCTTGTATATAGATTCACAAGTGGGATTGCTAGTTCGTATGGTAGTTCTGTTTTT